TAGGTATTTTGGATTTAAAGCCAAACAGGATGCCATTGTCCAATAAATCTGGCTATGTATTTATGACACCAATAAATACCATTCCTTCGCGATTCGTCGTGATATCTTTAGTAATTTTAAATACCCTTTTGGCATTTGCCATTTTTAGAGCATTTTTTACTTTATTTCTTTAAAAAAAAACAAAAGTCATGGGGTGCAGCCGGTTTCGTGGGTTCTTCTCTTGTTATCCTCCCCGGCCCTCCCCAACACGAACTCGGTACAGTCGGACTGTCGGAAACTCTTATTATTTATATAATTAAACTATGACGTTCAACGGAGAGGAGCATTGGGTTGGTCCTATATAGTTTCTGGGGGTACAATACTTGGGTTCTGAGGTGCATTATATAACATCTTTTTGCTTATGTTGTCCGGCTGCTATTCATAGTAGGTTATTTAGTCTCTTTCTTCCCCACTTTTTGCGTTGTATGATTTATTAATACGTTTATGTATAACAACGCATAGACTGAACTGCCACAACGTATACACTGAACTACCACAACGTATTGCGGTTTGTATAGTATTCACAATTTTTTAAACCAGTGATCTATTTAGGAGGATATGCAGATTCTCAAAGTTGACGTTGTACAGAAGGTAAATATCCTGAATTCCCGACATTTTGAACAGATAAATACATAGTGACAAATAATCGTTAGTTATATCATATAATCATAGTATTAACTCACAATAGAACTCACATCCGTGCTACGTGGAGAAGGAGTATCAAAGCTCTTATCAAAATCTTCTACAGCTTAATTTCTAGACTCGATGGCTGTGATCACTATGAAAGGCGTAGTATTCGACGGCACCGGCAAAGTGCAGTACAAAATTGACCTGCCAAAACCAGTCATTGAAGTGCCGACAGATGCGATTGTACGAGTCACACACGCGGGACTCTGTGGAAGTGATCTACATCCCTACAGTGGGCGTGAAGCCGGTCTAGCTTTAGGTGTGCATATGCAAATAGACTGTCACTTTGTGTCGACTTATTGAATATATATTTGTGGCGGTGCATGATTTTGTGGTGCAGTTAATCTCATCAGATAAGCACACAATGTCTTTGTCGTTTGTAGGAAACTATCACCTAAATTTGAGCTTTGAAAAAGATATGTTGGAATTGCATACATGAAGAAAAACGACAATTTTTTTCCATCTACGCTCCAATGGACAGATATAAGCAGCCAAATATGGGTTTGTGGAAATAGAATGTCATTATATATA